TTCTATGTCTAATTGTGACTAGCAAAATATGAAAATTCTGGATCATAGTTTTCCTTATCTCAAAAAAAGAAACCGTTTCCATAAGACCTTTTTTGGGGGATGGCATGAAGTCATGAATGAATAGACAGTGCTCTATAAATGTGAAGTTATACCCTTAAGTCAAACTGCAGAAGTGTCATTAAAATAATGAGAGAAGATCTATGCAGTGAAATAAGGAGAGTTCTGTATGAATTACCTGTGATAGAATGAAATCATAGAAATTATTTACCTAAATAGAGGGATTTTTATTGAAAGGTATCTCCTTTTTATTTACTAAAATATACATTTTCTGTTATTATCAAATTTTCCTTATAAAATAAAATCATGACTTAAATTTTCCACCTACCATGCCTGTCATCCTGCCCTAGCTTCTGTGAGTCATGATTTTTAATAGTATACTTTGCATATTTTAGTTTTGGATCTTACTAAGTAACCCCTAAGTTAATGGATGTGTATGAATAATGCTCATATTTGAGCAATAAAGAAGATCAGTAGATCAAAATGGATTTCACTACCTGTAGTAGGAATAACTACTTTTTTCTCTCAAGGCCTAATAAATGATTCATTTTAGAAACATAAGCCAGATAATGTGTTTATTTATATATATATGTATATATATATACTTAACACCAAAATGTTAAAATTATTGGCATTTTCCAACTCCCTTATTCTAGAGAAAAACTATTATTTACATTTCCTCATCTCAGTAGTGGTTGGGAAGACCCAACAGTTTTCAATCTTGTCTGCATAGCTACTCAGAACTGCAGAATTTAAAATTTGGATAGGCCATGGCAGCCCCAATATAGTTAGCAAATGAATATCTGAGGTAAAATGGCTCTAATTAACAGTTTACTGAGTTTACTAGAAGTTGGCTAAATTACAGTATGTACACATTACTACCTCACATAAATTGAATGCTGCTAAAATGGACTAGTACAGAGCTATGTATATGGATAATCTGTATTACCCAAAAATGCAAAAATATTTCTAAATACTTTTCCATATGTTTCCTACTGTTATAAAAATTTTCAAAACTGAGAGTAAACATTATAATCTGCACTTTATATTGTTTGCTGTCATTTCTTTGGTGGTGGTGGTGGGGTGGCTTGAATAACAAATTTATTTCTCACAGTTCTGGTCTAGAAATCTAAGATCAAGGTGCTAGCAGGGTTGGTTTCTTCTGAGGCTTTTCTCCTTGGTATGTAGTGCATGCATACTCTTGTCGTGTTGACTCTTTGCAACTCCCATTGATGTAGCTCTCCAGGCTCCTCTGTCCATGGAATTTTCCAGGCAAGAATACTGGAATGGGTTGCCATTTCCTCCTCCAGGGGGATCTTCCTGACTAAGGAATCAAAACCACATGTCCCGTGTCTCCTGCATTGGCAAGTGGATTCTTTACCTCTGAGCTACCTGGGAAGCCATCTTGGTATGTAGAAGGGTTATCTTTTTCCTTTGTCTTTTGTTTTTTATGGCTTTATTAATATAATGGACATATAACATTAAGTTTAAGGTGCACAACATGTTGATTTGATCCTTAAATATTGCAAAATGATTACAGTAGCATTAGCTATCACCTCCATCATGTCACATTAATTACTGTTTCTTTTTTGTGGTGAGAACATTAAAATAAACTCTTAGCAATATTTAAGTATATAGTACAGTGTTACTAACTATAATCACCAGGAAGTTTGTACTCTTAGACCATCTCCCCATTCCCTTCCCTCCCTCGCCCCTGGCAATTATCATTCCACTCTCTGCCTAATAGTTTGGCTCTTTTAGTTTCCACATACAAGTGGTGTGATACGGTATTTGTCCCTCTCTATCTGACATTATTCACTTAGCATAATGCCCTCAGGATCCATCCATGTTGTCACAAATGGCAGAATCTCCTTTCTTATGGCCAAATAATATTCACACACACACACACACTTAACTGAAAACCTCTCTGGTGGCTCAGAGGGTAAGGCATCTGCCTGCAATGCAGTAGACCTGGGTTCCATCCCTGGGTGAAGATCCCCTGGAGAAGGAAATGGCAACCCACTCCAGTACTCTTGCCTGGAAAATTCCATGGATGGATGAGCCTGGTAGGCTACAGTCCATGGGATCACAGAGAGTTGGGCACGACTGATCAACTTCACTGGTTCACTGGTTCCTTATCCATTCATCGGCTGATGGACACCTAGGTTGTCGGTCATCTCATTGCTGTTGTAAATAATGCTGTAGTAACATGAGAAGGCACATATCTCCTGATATCCTGCCTTCATCTTCTTTGGATATATACCTGGTGGAATTGTTGGATCACATGGTAGTTCTAACTTTTTGAGGAATCTCCACTCTTGCACAGTGGCTATACCAGTTTACATTCCCATCAGCAGTACGTGAGTGTTCCCTTTCTCTACACTCTTACAGTTTTTATATTTATGTTTTTGATGATAGCCATTTTTAACAGGAAGAGGTGATGCATTTCATTGTGGATTTTAAAAATTTTTTAGGCTGCACTTGGTGTTCACTGTGAACAGGCTTTCACTCGTTGTGAGCGGGAGGTACCCTTCACTGTAGCGCGCAGTCTTCAGTGCAGTGGCTTTTCTTGTGGAGCACGGGCTCTAGATGCACAGGCCTCAGTAGTCAGGGCTTGCTGGCTCTAGAGCACTGTGTAGATCTCATTCGGGATCTTGTTTAAGTCAGATGTAAAGTGGCATTGTTGAGGTAAGTGGAGAAGTTTGTGAGGGAGCAAGGTCAGTGGCTGGATTTTAGAGCAAGCAGTGTCAGGTTCCCGGAACCTGTTCCCCTAGCTCCATCAGCGTGGGTGTGGGGTCTGCTGAGCATGGGTGGCAGGGTCTCTTCTGGGACAGCGCATGCATTGTGGTAACAGCCATTGTTCCTAGCTGCAGAGCCTGAATCTCTGTCCCTCCTAGAGGGTCTGAGCTAATATCCTCTAATAAATACTTTCTCTATAGCTTAGATTGTGTTTTAGTTTGTAACCAAAACCCCTGGCTGATATAGGAGGCAAGAGTAGATGTTTGAAGACATGAAGGAAGCTATTGTCATAGTAAAGATGAGTGATGTTGGTGACTTCAATTAGGGAACTGACAGTGGAATTGGGAATTAAAAGCATGTTGAATGCAGTTTAGAGGTAGAGTTAGCAGGATTAATTGGTGATTAGATTAAAGGTAAAATAAGGTGTTCAGAATGAGTGCCAGGATTTTGAAATGAAAAACTAGTGATGCAGATGCCATTTACTGGAATAATTGCTGAGGAGAAACAGGGAAAGTGTGCAGTTGACCAAATGTTCTGATAGATGACAAAAACATGCCAGATAGATATGCCCATAAACAGATAAAACCAGAATGTATTATAAAATGAGCTGAAATAAATTATGAAGTGAAGGAAAGGCAAAAAATGATAAAATCATATTTTGAAAAACTGAGAAATGGGAACATTTCCCAATGAACTAAGAAAATAAGATAATAAGGTATGAAAATATTGCTGGCAGAGCTCAGGAAATAAGCTTAAAAAAATAATTTCAGACATGAACAAATTAGAAGGATCACAAGAGTAATAAGATGCCATAGATAATTTTATAATGGAAATTAAAGATGGAACAGTAAAATACTAAAGAGATAATGTGCATATGAAAAGGAAATTCAACCTGAAAGAAGGGAGTAAAGGAAAAGAAAAGCAAACAAGTAGAAAACACAGAATAAGCTGGAAAATAAAATTTTTTAAAAAGTCAGAAACACAACAGAACTATAATGACAGTGAAAATAAATCAGAACTGATAATAAATGTAAACAAAGTAGACCACACCACAGAGCTTATTACATTGGATTGAAAATTTTAGTTATATAGTATACATAAGAGAAATGCCTGAAACATAGACACATTAAGACTAAAAGAGATAATTTTAAAAAATACTTAAATTCAATCAAAGCAAAATATATTTGAGTCTTTAGCTTCAAAATTAAGCTAAGAACTCCCTTATTTCTATTTTTAAGAGGAATTTCGTACATTTAATCATATTTTTATCCCTGAGAATGGTTTATATAATTTTCTTCCCCAAAGTTGGATTGCCAATGTATTAAAATGTTAATTCTAACATTGTCAGATTGCTTTTTCATTTATACTCTAATCAACACCTGAGAACACCCTCATCATGGTAGCAATATGACTTTTTTTTTTTTAACCAATCTCTTTGATAAAAGGAAATTATTTTTGTTTTAGCCTTATATTTCTCCAGATGTGGTGAGTATGTTCTGATTCATTTTATGGATTTTCTCCTTTGTGAATTATCTGTTCATATCTTTTGTCCTTTTTTAAATTGGGTTGTTTTTTTCTTATTAACTGTGCAATTTATGCCACAAATTATTATCTTCTCATTGCTTTAGACAGCAACCTCCAAATCAGTGTTGAATAACTGTGACAATAGGTATTCAATGGAGTGGCTCCAATATTCTCTGATTATAAAAATTAGCAGAAAAAAAACACTGTGTAGCAGTCTATTATATTTAAGTAGTTTCATTTTATTCCTACTTTACCTTGAGTATTTCATTAAGAATGGCTGTCCCACCATCGAATATTCTTTTTCCTCATGTCTCTTTGTGATTCCATTAACTGTAGCCTGCCAGGCTCCTCTGTCCATGGGGATTCTCCAGGCAAGAATACTGGAGTGGGTTGCCATTTCCTTCTCCAGGGGATCTTCCCAACCCAGGGATCGAACCCAGGTCTCGCAGATTGCAGGTGGATTCTCTACTGTCCGAGCCACCATTCCTCATGTTAATTGAATTGCTGAATTCTTCATTGTTAAAATGTTTATCATTAATATACAGATATTTTCAGATAAAGGTAGAGAAACAATGTACTTACCATTTAAAAAGTTAATTTTAAAAATTCAATTGCCTCCTCTTGAACAGGCAATAAGTTTACTAAGTTATTTTAAATTAAGTAAATAAATCAATAAAGTAACTTATCACTGTATTTATTATTTTTTAATAAAATGCATCTGCAGAAATGTTTCATCACAAACTAGTGCTACAAAAATAAATATAAAACAAATATACATGTTCACATCTTACTTATAACATAAATATACATTATTTACATGTTCAAAATTCAGAAACTCCAGCATGTTTTGTCCATGATTCATAACATGTCTAAAGTAGGGAAAACAATAAAAAAGCACAAATATACCATACACCATTTATATTTTTGCTTCAAAAGACTGTTCAATACAAACATATAAACACAGTGATTTCAAGGGTATATGTTCTAAGAGCAAAGTTAGGTGTCCTATTTTAGTCTATGACCACTACATTTTGTGACTCAAGTTCCATTCTGCTTTGTTCTCTCATTGGAAGACAGACATACCTTTATGGTACAGATTAAAATTCTCTTTTACAGAAAGGCTTTCTGAAGAAGTTTTTTAAAATAAAAAAAAGTCACTTTACTTGAAAGCCAACAAAAAAGTTATTTATTAAACATATATCTAAAAGGAGCTTTAATCAATGAAAACTATGAGTTGGATTAGAAAACATCAAAAGGATGGAAGAAAGACACTGTAATTTCTGTTTGATGTATTCTGGTAATTTTTCATTTTCTCCATACCTAAGTGAAGCAGAAGAGAAAAAGATAAAATCATAACTTAATCACTTAGTTTGTATGAATACCAAAAAGCACAGTATATTTTTCAGTAATTCTTCAACGGCAAAAGGCAGTGCAGAAAGATTATACAAAATTATTTATTAAGACACTGAAACATACTCAATTTGTATCCTTTTAAAAAAGATCAATTTCTAAACATATTTAAATAATAAAATAGATAAAAAAACTTGAACAGACTTTATACAAGCTGAAAATCTAGATTCCTCCAGCATGTTTTGTCCATGATTCTTAACATGTCTAAAGTAGGGAAAATAATAAAAAAGCACAAATATACCATACACCATTTATATTTTTGCTTCAAAAGACTGTTCAATACAAGCATATAAACACAGTAATTTCAAGGGTATATGTTCTAAGAGCAAAGTTAGGTGTCCTAACCAAACTACTGCTTTTTTTTTTCAAGTTCTACCAGTTTATTGCTACCAACCCATCTCCCTGCACCCTCGTGCACACATGCTCAGTCATGTAATCCCATGAACTTCAGCCCGCCAGACTCCTCTGTCCATGGATTTTTCCAGGCAAGAATACTGGAGTGGGTTGCCATTTCCTTCTCTACCAAACCACTGCTTTTAAACTGAAGACCCTAAAGAAAATACAAGCTAAACACATTATAATAACATTTCCATTAAATATCAAAATTTTCCAAACTACCATGTCAAGTAAAAATCTGAACTTTTATCGTTGAATATGGGTTCTACCCATTTTATACCTGTATCTTTCCACTTCCTAGAACATTTGGAAGATGTTGTTTCAACAAGACCCCTCAACCTGTGAGTTCTTTAAATGATGGTACTGCATATATACACACAAAAGCAGTTGGTAGACATCCACAAACTATGTTTGTCCCAAGTATTTCCTCCACAATAAGCACTTTTCATAAAGTAGCATGTTTGTATTGGCATCATTTGCACCCTACCTCTTTTTAGTAAGTTATGGTTTGAAATGTGGAAACCAAACCACTGCTTTTTGTTGTTGATGATAGATTTTTCTTTGTTAGCATATGTATTGTATTAGCCTGGCATATACCCTCATTCAGAATTAATATATACATTTAAAAAATTCTTTTAATCATTAATCACTTTACATTAGATCAGGGGATACATTTTCATTTGGGAAAAATAATCTGGATATCTATTAAAATAAAGATTCCTTGTTTCTGTGTTCTTTTATATAAACTAAATATATTACTTAGAAGTACATTATTTCTGAAAAGGGTCAACTTAGTTAGATTAAAGGAACAGTAAGGCTAAAGCAATCTAACCATCTGGTGTGGATAATACATAACAGCTACCTTACATTCCTGTAGATAATCATAAAATATGTATTAAAAAGACCATGAGCTGCTTTGAATATCTAAGTTTAAATAATAAGATGAACTTTGTCAACATGAAAAGAGTACCTTAAGTCATTTATTTCAACAAGTAGAGAAAAAAAATTATAGCAAAGGGCTGAATCTCAAGCAGTATTTTAAAACTTACCTAGTTGTTTGACCATCTGGTGATGTATAACTAATAGAAGACACTCCTGCCTGCACGACCAACTGGGACCCATCATTAAACTGAACCCACACAGCTCCACTAGTTAACTAGAAAAATAATAAGCATGCAAAATTACTATACAGTAGAGCATAAATTCTTAAAAGGCACTCATGTTTAACAGGTTTTTCACAAAGTTAAAAAATAACAACAAAAAACAACCCTTCAGGTAACTACAAATTTGGGGCTGTGATGGCAGCAACATTTGAAAATATCCTTTTTTTTTCCAGGTGATTCCTTTAATAGGACATCAGAAATTAAACTTATTCTACATAAATCCTGTTTTTCACTAATTTCTACTAGGATGTCTGAACAAGTGTTTTTCCTTTCCCATAACATTTCTAGCTAAGAACAGATTTAGAAAATTACCAAACACTTCCTTAGATTACAATTTTCATCCATTCTTTGTTCTTAGGCCACAAGAATTTTTGTTCTGCCTGAGAATATTACATCTTTGCTTTTGAAACTTGTTCCTTTAGTCACTAATACTTACAATGTGCCTGCCACTCCAAACAGAGTACAGGAATCCAACACTTGAGTTTACATCCAGATTCTGTCAGCTAACTAGTAGGAATGTGCAAGTCAACCTATCCATCATAAGCCATAATTTTACTATCTATGAAAGGAGGAGATGGCATCAACTTTACTAGGTTTTATTTTGGGAAATAATGTGACAATGTATGTGAAAAACATGGTACCACATAGGAGGTACTCGACAAATGCTACGTTCCCTTCCCTTTACTTCCTACTTCCATAAAGGACTAAGCTGTATTTTACTTCACTGGTAAGTAAAAATTCCATGTGTTATACTCAAAAATCTCCAAAATTCAAGGTTTCAGATAGCATACACATATAGGTTTACACCTACATAAAATTCTTTTAAGTTTGCAATTTGGTGTAGACCCAACTTTAAAATGCAAAAAATCTTTTCTGCCAAATCAAAGTTACTCTACTAATATAGATTACAAATACTTTCTAAAACTTAAAATGCCTAGACATTCTCAAGTCCTAACGTTTAACCATTATCATGACCTCTACTTTAAAGACAAATGGCAAAAACAGGTCACCTAGGCCCTAGCAAGCAATTTGGTATCAACAGTATCTAGAGTTTTCCAAGTGTTATACAAATAAAAAAACTTAAAAATTATTAATGACATACCCAGTGCAAAAAAGGTGTAAAAACTTTCTTGCAAAGAGAAATCTTTAATTTATATTTTTTGGTCATTGTCAATCACTGTGGAAACCAAATTATTACATACTTAGAAAACTCACTTTCCTAAAAGCTGCTCACCTGTGTAGCCCAACCAACATTTTTCACAAAAACAGACTTCAAAAGTTGTGCTGATTTAGGGAGACAATCTTTAAGACTTCTAGGAGAGCTGTTTGTTTCAGAAGCTGCACCCGTAAGGCCAAGTCCTTCATCTGTAACCACCTACAAACAGTAAAAGAAAGGAAGATATCATTCCTCAGCATTCTAGTAAGTCAACCTCAGCAAAAGTAGAAAATGACCAGATTTTCATTATCTTAATTTATAAAAAAGGTAAAAAAATATAATCACATTATAGAAAATAAATGCACAGGACAAGAAAAAAATTTTTCATTTTGGTAGATTTCTTTTATTCATTTCCCAAGATATAATTTTTCATAGCTACAATTATAAATGTTTGTGAATACACACATACACACACACACAGACCTATCTTTAATCTTATATTTTACTACATTGCTCTATCATCTTCATTGGCATGATAGTTCATTTGGTAAAAATATGTTTATTTAACCATGATCCTATCATGGATATTAAGGAAATTAATGGTATTTTACTAGCAAAAATAAAAGTATATATATGTTAGTATATTTGGTGTTTTCCCTGAGAAGTCAGGTTAGGCCTTGCTGAGGTAATGCTTAAACTGAGAGCTGCAGGCAGAGAAAGCAAGCCATTCAAGGGTTCAGGAAAAGAATTCCAGGTCAAGTAAACAGCATGTGAAAAGGCCCTGAGAGTTTGACATAATTAAGCCCAGAGAGTGCTGGGGTAAAATAGTGCAGGATGAGCTGGAAAAGTAGCTAGGTGATGGTAAGACCACAGTCAGGTTGTTTTAATTTTATATCAAGGACATTAGGCAATCATTGAAGAGTTTAAAGTACAGAAGTGACATATATTTACTTACAGGAGGATTAAGTACTGGTGCCTGTTTCGGAGAAGCAGCACTATTTATGATCATTCTATTCAGAGATGGTGTCTCTCTCATTGGGTAGTTTGGATCCACAGGAGGAGGAGGTGTTAAGGCCTTAGGTGAACTAGTACTACTAGGTCTTCTGAAGGAGAAAGACAAGTCAAATACATTCCCTTAAAGCTCTCAATTTACAGAAAACAGAAGAATGCTCATAATGTAAACACTAAACTTATAAAAAATAATTCTACACATTTTACTCTTACTTAATAAATTTTCAAACATTTACCTTCCTACGATTATGGGGAAAAAGGGAGCACTTCCACTTTTCTTTTCCTCTTCTGAAATTATGGATTCCAGTGCTAAACAAATACGGTGGCCCTGTTTTAAAAGAGTGCTTTCTGTCATTGCTTCACCTATGTCATTTGTAATGTTATTAACCGGTTAAAAAACCTACTAAAAGTAGGTACATACCTCATTAGCATGGTTCATATACATTTTTACCTCCTCTTTCAAGCTATTAACTTCACTTTCACCTTTTAAGGTGTAAGATCTGCCAGTCTTTTCGATCACCTGAATTAAATCTTCTGTTTTGTGTATCTTTGCTCCTTAAAAAATAAGCAGAAAATTCTTTATCGTTTCTATAAATATTCATTATATGTGTATGAATATATGTATATATATGAATATATATGATATTATATTCATTATCATACTCCAGTATATAATAGCTCCTAGATCAAGGTATCATTTACATTTACTCATTGGCCATTAATAAAATGAGGCTCTCAAAGTAGTATTCCAATAAATATATGCCATTTTTCTTTTCTGACTATATCTGGCTTAAGTTTGAAACTTTTATACTTTTCAAAAACTACTGATACAAGTATGTAAGTGAAGCTAAGCTATAATTGTAGTGTACTGTGTGAGTATACACTCTATGTGTCCCTTAGGACACATAAAGGAGGAAACTTTACAGATTAAAAAGTGAACATCTTTATGTATTTAGAAAATAAGATTCTGTTTCAACCATACCCTTTTGCAATGTTTATTATTCTAAAAATTTGGTATATGTCCATTTAAGTTCTAATAAGAAGTAGGATATCAATCAGAATGTTGTTAAATACACACACACACACACACACACACACACACACACACACACACACACACACACACACACACACACACACACACACACACACACTTGCTGTGCTAGGGAATTCGCTGGTTCTCTAGTGGTTAGGATTTTGAGCTTTCCTTCCTGTGACCCGGGTTTAGTCCCTGGTCTGAGAACTGAGATCCCACAAGCGCATGGTGTGGGCAAAACAAACAAACAATTATGCTGAATTAAAAAAACAAACCCACAACTACAAAGTTACAAGCTAAAGGGGAAAAAATAACCATTTCTAAATGGCACTTACCATCATAAAACCAAACCTCAAAATCAGCACCAGGGGAATTCTCCATCAAAACACATTTAGCATATCTTGTAAAATAAGTAATTTTGGGAGATTTAGATCTTACAAGCTGTACAAATCTGGAAGCATATTGATATTTTCGCCAGTACTTTTCTAGGCAGAGAAAAGAAAGAAGTTACCTAATCTTAGGGAATTAAAATGTTGACATAAATTCAGTAACAGTCTTAATATTTATTTCTACTCTTTCTCAAAAATTTAAGTCAAAAGTTAATAATTCCATTACCCACAATTAATAATCCTATTACCAAAATAAAAATATTTTAGAGATGTAAGTCTACTATTTTAATGAAAACTAAAGACAGTATAATAAAATTCCCAAGATGTATGTAACAAAATCTGATGGATTAGTATCATGACTATTAAAAAAAAAAAAAATCTCTCTTTGAATCACTGACTCCTTACTATAAGTAAGATAATGACTCTAGGAAAGTTTTAATAAATGAAATGAAAAGAGTTCTATCTGATATCAGAACCAAATGACTTTGAGAAAAAGAAATGTAGCACTTTTTATATTAGTAAAGTACAGCATGTTAAATTTTTGTAGTTTCCTGTGACCATGGTCATATATGGGCTTCCCTGGTGGCTCAAGACGGTAAAGAATCTGCCTGCAATGTGGAAGACCTGGGTTCAATTCCTGGATCAGGAAGATCCCCTGGAGGAGGGCATGGCAACCCACTCCAGTGGCTCTTGCCTGGAGAATCCCATGGACAGAGGAGCCTAGCAGGCTATAGTCCATGGGGTCACACAGAGTTGGACACGACTGAAGTGTCTAAGCAGCAGGGGCAGCAGTGGTCATTTATAGTATTTAATAGTCTTGCCTACCTGCTTTAATTCTAATAAGGTTAGGTTAGATAGGTTCTCTCATTTGTTTTTAAGTCACCTTAGGGAAGTCTTACTACTCAGTGCTTAATTTTCTAATTCATAATATCCAGAAACTGAACTGGGAATCAAATTTGGTTAACCGCAATTACAAGGGATCATTATGTAGCACAGATTTCAAAAGCCAAAAACCAGATACTTCATGTTGAATTTTTAACACTATTCTAGACAAACTATAACTAAACAAGTGTACAAAGTATATTTGTGGACACATGACTAATATTCCGGAGTTAGTTTTTCCTTAAATAAAATTCCATTATAACATATAACATGCCTGAACACTGAATTAGTAAGGTACAGCACATATCACCAGATATAGAGTTATAAGAACATAACTTACAGCCCAAATGAAGTCAAGATATTTACAATTTATGATATCCACATGTATAGAATTTATGTCTATGGATTTATATAAATCCATTATCTAAATTTATTCCCTGGTAAATTTACATACCTGGTAAATTATCAAAACTGTACCTACTGATATTATCAGTAGGTGAGGGTGGTCTATCAGCAAGAGGAAAACCTCTTCCATCATTTGGATAATAAATAGTGATCTGTCAAAAAATTTTAAGAATTCTAATTATATGCCATTAAGTTAAAGAACTATATTTTGTCACTAAAATTATAAAAAGAGCTCACATGAATATTAAATTTTATCTTTATTGAAAACATAAATACTCTCTAAAAGTAATTTTTTACCTGTTTAAACTTAAGCCTAAAGTTTAGATTTTGTTATTAGTTATAATTATTTTTTAAACCACACTACTTTATTTTAGTATGCTATTTTAGTTTTTGAATTCCATATATACTATCATATCAGGAAAAGTAATTTAAAAAATTGTTTTGTAATAGAATGAATGGAATGGTAAATACTTAAATGATGCAGCTGCAAGATAATCAAAGTGAATCCACATTACCGTACTCCCATCACTGGATATCTGAAGAACTTCTTTCACATAGTCTTGAGATGCATAATCCTTCAGAAGCTCCACACATACCTCCTCTGAATCAAGTATGCTCACCTAAAACAAACAAACTAAAATCAATAACAATTATTTATTAGAACGTTCTGACATATATATTAGTGAAGAGCAAAGTACTTAACCATGGCAGAAACAAAAATTAACGTAAAAACAAAATAGCTGCTTCACTGCAGTACTCTAGGTCACAGGTGTATTTGAGGACAACTGTGAAACATAAGGAGCCCAGGTGAGACGGTGTAATGAGGTGTGAAATAACCAGTGAGCAGAAAGGAAGCAGAAGGTAGGGTGGAGAATTCAAGGACTTTGGAAAGAACAGCACTCCAATTAAAGGCAAGACTCGGTGAAATGGAAAATAAGGGACAAACAGGATGAATAGGGAATTCAAAAATAAAAATCACTATTCCCAATACACACATTAAAAAAAAATCCTCAACTTATTTTTCATATCGCTGTTAAAACATTAATAGTTTGAGATGTTAAAAAGTTATATTTTCTAGTTTATCTTTTTGAGACTGGATTAAATGTAGAAACAATAAAAACAAAAGATAATACTAGATGTTAATTTAGTGATTAGAACTGTGAATAATATTTAACACAGCATTTAACCAGTATTACTTCTAAATGTTTTTCATTATCAATAATTTAAAGTTCATATCAGTTCACCATTCTTAAAGTATTTAGAAGAAAACAATAGCTATTTTTCCATAAACATGCAATATCTTTTCTCTTATGTGAGTTTATCAAGTACATATAAAAAATGCAGGGACATTATAGAGAACTGAAAAGATACCATGTTTGATACCTGAAACCATATACTCAAGGAAAACATCATACAGTGATTTAGAAAAATAACAGACATACCACGGCCTTTTTGGTTTTCTGTCGGATTGGTTTTAACCTATAAGCAGTCAAAGGAGATGTAATGCTCCGTAATGTACGCTTCTGATAAACCAATGGTGGCTCCACACCCCTAGTCTTGCTTTGTTCAGAAGGATCTAAGCCAAAAATAGATTCTTGTTGAATTATTCCAGGTTTAGTGTGATATGCAGTCATAGATTTCATGGTGTTCAAATGTTTTACAGAACATGCATTATGAGAAGCACCAGGGCTCCTTTTGGCTCTTGTACCAGTCTAGGCATTTCCTGATGCGTCCTGCAAATCTGGACGGCCCTGCAAGTCTCTGTTTGGGCTAATACTGTTGTGCTCAGTAGCTTCTCTTAAATGAGCTACAATATACATAAAATAAAGCAACTTAGTGAATAATTAAAGTCAAGTCTACACAGAACAATGTCATGCTGGTTACAACAGCATCCTTTTTTATGAAGAACAAAAGAAATCTAGTTTAAAAACTTCTAATTTTTCAGTTTAAGATATGGCATAGGGGACTTCTCTGGCAGTCCAGCCATTAGGAATTGGTGCTTTCACAGCCGAGGGCCTGGGCTCAATCCCTGGTCTGTGAACTAAGATCTCACAAGCCATGCAGTGCAGCCACAAAAGAGAAAAAGATATGACATAATAAAATAATGACTTATGACTTTAAAAGGATATTTTAAGCTAGCCTGCAAAGGAATACCTTAAAGTCTAAGACTAAGAAAGAAAAGATACCAATATGAAATTAATTTTTCAATCAAAGCAAAAACTAGTCATCTACTAAATGGGTCACCTACTAATACTAAACAAGCAACTGCCAATGCTGCAATAAATACAGATTTGAGAGGAGTTCCCAAATAATCATTCTACATAACATGTAAGCTAAGGACTATTTCATTTTTACTTACAAAATATGCAACTAAAGCCAAAACACACTAAAATATACAAAATAGCTTTAATATCATTAATACTTAATATTACAAATGTTATTTGTAGCTATATTTCTAAAAAAGCTCTTGTTGAACTTTACCTGTTTAAATTTTATATATCAACAGTTCTAGAGTTCACATGGAGACATTATTTTTTAAAAAGCCCTTAAAATGGTTAGAGTATATAAAACTTTGTAAGGCAATTTTTCTAATTCTAAATCTAGAAATCTGTATCTCGGGTTTTCCCCTTAAGTGACTTTTACATGCCTCCCCCTCCTCACTACCATTATAATAGGAAATATCTTATATCAAACAATATACTTTGAAATTGCAGCAGCACTACTAGAGTATTATAAACAAGGTTACCCCAGACATGTCCATGTTACCAAATAAAAAGTATCTATAAATACAGTAGAAGGTTAAGTACAAGATTTAAGCACCGAGCAGTTTTATAGATTAAAACACATAAGGTTGAATTATCAGCTTTAACAAGTACACATAAAAAGACTAATTATCTCTTGGGCTCTTGAAAATAATACACACACAAAAAAATAGACTTGTGGTGACAAAACAACTCTACTTAAATTACACCCATATATTATGTACTTTGTCTGAAGTAATATGATACTTAGTAAGAAATTATCTTCTCCTCTCCATATGTTTCTTCCATATGTTTCTTTTTTATTCTTTTTCCCATAATTATTTTCCAACCCACTTCTGTGAATCTAGCATGTCCATTAAGGAGAAATGTTTAACTTTCAAACTGTGGATCTATAAATGAAATAATGACTTAATGATAGCTGTTTAACAGTGTTTAGGTTTTAGTAGCTGTGTAGTGTATGCGAGGTCCCATTGGTATACTATGATATCCATACCCCCTTACAGTTAAAAATAAAATCAACCATCTTTTGATTATTTTATAGGTACTGATAAGGTACTTATTACAGAGAGACTTCGAGAGCAGAGGGGTTAGAGACTAAAGTCTCTGAGTCAGACTGCGTGGGTCAGACTCGTGTCTCTTCCATTTATGGACAGTGTGGCTTGGCAAATTAAGCTTTGTGCACTATAACGTCCTCATTTGTAAGACAGGATTAATAATAGTGTCTTCCTCGTATAGTTTTTGTGAGAATTTAAAAAGTTAATACATGTTAAGCATTAAGGACAGTGGTTGATACAGTAAATACTCAAAATGTATTGCTATTACTATTATTATATTACTATTACTATATTACTAATAGTTATATTACTATTATAACTAGGTTTATTCAAAATGCCATTATTTCCTTAAGAAAATCCAAAGAGAAAGCCGCAATGCTTGCTAAGTGGCCAAATTATTAATATTTTATTAAATAGTCCATTAAAAACTCACCATTTATTTGCAGATTCCCAAACCATTGTTGCACCATTTCAGTCTGAGGTGTCTGGTCAGGAAATGGAAAGGGAGTTTTTCCTTGACAAAGATGATCGGAGCTAAAGAAAGAAAAAAAATTTTTCCATAAACTAATAAAAAATTATCTGATAATAACTTTGTAAGATAAAAATACTTTAAAAAGATTTCTTTTGATATGAACTTCTAAAAACTTTTAGATTAATAGTAAAACCCAATATTTACATAACTAAATTGTCTCTACGAAGCTAAGTTCCCATGCCAAAATGCCCATGGCACTGTGACACTATTTCTATATGGCTACTATCCTCTTGTAATTTAAGAATAAAAACTAGAGGGAAAAAAAAACAAACACTAGTTATTAAAAACCTAGTCTTCACGTAAGAAGCAGGTAACAGTGTGATTACTCATCACTTAAGCTCAGCCATTCTCTTATTTGTGTGTGTGTGTGTTTACGTATGGTTACTGTTAAGAGTACTTTAGGGATCACACATGTTTAAAATATGATATACTGCACTGGAGACCTTCATATAAAATTAAACATGACACTAAAAATTTCAAAGTATTAAATGCATACTACACATACATCCATGAGCACATATACTCATTTTAATTCTTAACCATAATCCAAAATTATCATTTTGGTTCTCTCCCTATTAAAAAATAGAAATCATAGTTAAGAAGTGCCCCAGGAATATCTGATAGGGTTAGAAAAAAGGTACCCACAACCTTAGTTACAAGCAGCTTCATGTTTGTGATAATACAATGCTTATCTAAAAGTAAAATGCTTTTGATAGAATTATTCTTACAGTGCTTGATTGTTATCAGGTCCTTCAAAAGATCCAGAACTACTGGATGTCTTTTCTTTAAAGAAGTGAAAAATATTAGCATCGTTGTTTGTGGGTGAGTATTTTCCATTTTCCTCCGCTCCTGCTCGTTTGGGTTTTGAAAGCATTTCTGCTGAGTAACATCGTTCCATTGTGTGTGTTTTCACTCGAGACTGACCATGAGAAGTCTCAGATCTATCAGAGGAATGGGCTCTACGAAGGTATCGAGAATGTGGCCTTTCTTCTGCCTCTTGGATCACTCTTCCCCTTCCACTATTACTGGTTTCTTGTTCTTGATTGCCCCATGGAATATAAAACCTGCTTCCATCTCCTGAAGAAGAAAAATCACTTGGATTTTTATTCTTTGGAAATACAGTCATTTTATTTGGGAGTGGCTGTTCAATCAAAAGTCGTCTTCTGTCAAATAAACTACCACTTATACTGGTACTGGAAGAAGCTGTAATTGCTGTAGAAATTGTGGCATGTCCACTATCAATCGAGTCTTCTACAGTTCCTAAATCCTTACTTTTTTTTGAAGAATTTCGGGACATAAAAGGATGATCTAATACTGAAGACAGACTTAAACGATCTGCTGGATTTCTACGAAGTAACTGGTGAATAAGGTCCTTGGCTTCTCTTGACAAAAAAGTTGGCATTTCATAATCTGCCAATACTACTTTATTTAATGTGTTCTTGACTGTGTCAGTGTCAAAAGGCGGTCTCCCAATAAGTAACGTATAAAACATACAGCCCAAGGACCAAATATCAGATTCAAGTCCATGTGCACTTCGAGTTGCAATTTCTGGAGAAATGTAATTAGGAGTTCCACATAACGTATAGTGCTTTTCATGTGGCATTTTCAACTGAGTTGCCAGCCCAAAATCAGCAATCTTGATGTTCATATTACGTGTAAGTAAGAGATTAGAAAGTGTGAGGTCCCGGTGCAATATACCATGCGAATGGAGATATAACATGCCTGTGATGATTTGGTGCATGAAGTGTCGAGCTGTTAGAATGCAAAAATTAAGAGTTACAACTTAGAAAATCTGAAGATTCAGTATTTAGAATACATTATGAATCCCAAGTACATAAGCTAATATTACAATTAGTGAACTGGTTTGTGGCTTAGTATCACCAACCAAAATACCACTCTGATAATTTTATAATATTCTTTAACATTTCCCTTTAAGACATCTAGGCACTCCTTTTAATCTTTGTCCTTTACAACTAATGAGTTTTCTAATACAGTTAAGGGATGCTTACTTTTATTAAGAATTGAGAGTGACTAGAGTTAACTAGGGTAATTACAAGTCCATAGAAATTAAGAGAAAATATTTATAATTAAACAAAAAATTCATAAATACACTCAAATTGTAAAAAAGAGAGAAGCAACCTAAAGTTCCTTTGATGTCCCCATGTCCTGCGTGCATACTAAGGCATGTCTCTTTGCGACCTCATGAACTGTAGCCCAACCAGGCTCTTCTGTCCATGGGATTTCCCAGGCAAAAACTGGAGTGGGTTGCCATTTCCTTCTCCAGGAGATCTTCTTGAGCCAGGGATTGAATCCGCATCACCTGCATCTCCTGGATTAGCAAGTGGATTCTTTACCACTTTACCACCTGGGAATTGGCCAACTATACTTTCTCTTCTATGAACAGTTTCCTTATATCCCTCATCCATTTTCCTATTCAATTGCCTTAAGTTTCTTTCTTGGTCGCGCTGGGTCTCTGCTGCTGTATGCGGGCTTTCTCTAGTTGCAGCGGGCGGGGGCTACTCTTCACTGCATGGTGCACGGGCTTCTCACTGTGTGTGCAGCGCACAGGCTCTAGGCGTGTGGGTTTCAGTAGTTGCGGCACCTGGCTCAGCAGTTTCGGCTGACTGGTTCTAGAGCACGAGCTTGGTCTGTCCGTGGCATGTGGGATCTTCTGGGTCAGGGATTGAACCTACGTCCCCTGCGTTGGCAGGGGGACTCTTAACCACTGTACCACCAGGGAAGTCCAGGCATGCCTTGTATTTTAAATATTAATTGGCCAGCCATTTATTTTATAATTATTTTCTTCCTATCTTTAACTTTGAAATTTGTTGACAGTATCTTTTGTCATATACATTCTTGGTTTTAATTAAATTGGTAATTTGTTTCCTTCCTATTTTTTGTAAGTTATGTCTTATATAAGAAGACCCTACTATTACACAGATTATGAAAAAATATAGTATTCATCATCAATATGTATATGAATTTATTTTCAATTTGTATAATGTTCTTACTTTCAGTCTAAGGAAATAAACATTTCCATGATTCTTAATATGTGTGACCGAATTGTTTTCTAAAGGGGTTAAATACAGAATCAAATGGACAAAAAGCCTGTCAACAACCATCTTTCTTAGATTTCAATCTAGCCTGCAGTCTCAGTTAACAGGCTAAGATAATTTGAAAACAATCATTCCTGGAATGTCCCTGGTGGTCCAGTGGGTAAGACTCCAAGCTCCCAAATCAGGGGGCCCGGGGGTTCAATCCCTGCTTGGGCAACTAGATCCTGCATGCATGCCACACTGAGTCTGCAAACCTCAGTGAAGATTCTGGGAGCTGCAAATAAGACGCAGCACAGCCTAAATAAATAGACAGATAGAAAACAGTCATTTGTGTGATGATACATGGACCTTACTTGATCCTGATCTGAAATATAAAAATGTGACTTCTAAGAAACTGTGGAAGCTGAAACTGACAATGTGTTTGATAGTAAGGAATTATTAGGTGTGATAGTGACTTTGTGCTTACTTTTTTTTTTTTTTTAAGTCTGTCTCACTTAGAGATAAAAAGGTGTCTATGATTTGCTTCAAAACACTCTGGGGCACTGGGGGAGTAAGAAGAGTAAGATGAAACTATCTAACCATGAGTTGACAGTTTTGAAAGACGATTGGTAAGTTCATAGGGGCTCATTATTATTACTCTCTCAGTTTAAATGTTTGACATTTTCTATAGCAAATGGTTTCAGCAGGCACTTGTGTTTGACTTAGAAACTACTTTATAGTCATCAATAGCATTTTTTCTAAAAAACTTTTTCTAGATGTCAAAGGATACACATTAAACTGTGACCAACGATTTAAAATGTTGTTTTTAAAAGAAGGATAGTAAATTTCTCCTTCTACTTTATTTCTGTAACACCTAAGTTATTCACATGAACTAACAGCTGTTTAAACTTTGGTGGGGGGGAACAGTGTCCTTTTGTAGCCTAAAGTAATAATTGGAACAGTTTTACTAAACATTACAAAATAGTACATTCTTCAAAACTACAAAAAGTAAACTCATATCTACCAAAAATTTTTTTTTTTTAAAGAAAAAAGAAGTATGGCCTACCTTCATTTTCTGAGAATGGTTTTCTTCTATTTTTTAAATACCTGTTCATTTCTCCATTATGGCACATTTCTAATACTAGGTACACATAATTGTTATCTTCAAAATAGTTATACAGCTGAAATGTAAAAGGGTGTAATAAATTATAATAGAGAAAAATTCAATGTCCTTGGCCACTTTTGTTAAATGTGTATCTTACCTCCAAGATAGAAGGATGTTTCAATTGGCAATGTATTTTCACCTCATTTTGGACTCTTTGTACCATTCCAGCTTTGTACATGGCTTTCTTATCTATCTAAAATAACATGAGAGTTTTAGACATTCATGATAAACTTTCAAATGTGAATTTGTCATGTTAACTTTGAAAAAATAAAATATACTTTGAAATATTCTTTTGTCCTTTTATCTACTTTTTAGATCAATTTATTCTGTTGTCTGTTTTCCCCATGCACCCAGCAGAGTATTTGGCAGAATGAACATTCAATAATTTTCTCCAATGCATTCCAATATACTCTACCAACTTAAAGAATTTATAGCTCAACTATCATATCTATGATAACAACAACACAAATTTAGCAAAGTTTTAAAAGAAAACTTCCCTTCCCTTTTCCTACTGGTTTAGGTGTTTCTTAATCTGCTTATGTTAGTTCTGTTAGATTAACTCCTAACAATCAAGAATAGTATTTTAGCTTGTTACAGTGCAAAACAGAATTATGCACAAGGGTATTCTTCTTATACACAAATTATTGTTCTTTGATTTCTACCAATTACTCCAAGTATGCATAATTAGAACAGATACCAGATCTAATGAACATTAGTAAAGATAAGGCATTTGTTTAAGATATCCTTAAATTCAGCTGTTGGAATTACTGTCTTTTGCTTAAGCAATGGGTTTTTTACACCATAAAGAAAAGGCTGGCAAGTAAGGAGTTTTTAACATCTCAAGTAGCAAACTTCTCTAGTTTATTTGCAAAGTAGAAGTGAGAAACTGATTAATACATTCTTACCATTTTGATTGCAACTTCCAAACCAGTGTGAATGGACTCAGCTCTATAAACACCAGCAAATGATCCTTTACCAAGCAGATTTCCAACTCTAAAATCCTTAAAAGTTAAAATTAAAGAACATGTGTGATGATTTCCAGAAATAGAAAGGAAGAGAAATAGGAAGGAACTGGAAAGAGGATAAAAAGGATCGAAAGGAGAATTTGCATTTAAAATTCAAGCAGGTATTACACCTCGATACAGCTGGTGTCTGGGGTGGACAGCATGTTGACGCCTTGTGTGTCTGTGAGCTTCCAGGCTGGTTTCTAGATACAGCACCCTAATCATCTGGTTCCTCAACCTCTGCGTAGCCTCAGCAACCTCCTCCCTCCTCCCCCCTCCAGCCAACCCCTGAGAGCTAAGGGCTGGAACGGAATCCCGCCGCAGCTCCCGCTGGAGGTAACCGCCATCCCCTTGGTGAAGGAGGAGACACCCTAGACCTGCTCTAGCGCGGCAGCTCCGGCGGGATCGCTGACCAGGGGGCGCGGTGTCTAAGGACAGAAGGGCGGGGCCGCGAGGGACTCACCTGTCCCACCGCCGCCGCATCTCCGAGGGGCGGGCCGCTCCGCCCCCAAACAGCCGGGCCGGGTGGTTGGGACCCTCCCCAGGCACTTCGGAGCCCGCCCTGCAGCTGTTAGCTTCGTCTTATCCCCTTCCTCCCAGGGTCTCGAGACCCGGCACTCCGACTCCCGCCCGCCCTACTGGGCACTGCCGAGTCTTTTCACCTCGATCTTTTCTCCGATGCAGGTCGCCATATTTCCAGGCCGCGGCCCGTGCTCCCCGGATCAGCTCCCTTCACGCAGTTCCTTCGAGGCAGCACTCCAAGCAGCCAGCGGGTCTTGGCGCCCATCAGGCTTGGCTCTCTAGGCCGCCGCTCTTGGCGACGACAGCACAGCCACCGAAAGGTCTCCTGGACACCTTCCGAGGCCTGGGCGGCGCCTCCGCGCTCCCATTTTGAAAAACTCCCGCCGGTGGCTGTCCTCAGAAGTTGGAGGTGACGTAAGGAGGCGGGTCGCTTCGAAGAGGCTGAGCGGAGCCGAGCATGCGTGGTAGGCGCCTTAGCCCGCCCGCCCCTGCACGAGGACCGGAAGTGTTTCTGCGTCATGCAGCTTGGCCGGAAGTGTTGGCAGTTCGGCATTTGGGGGACCTGCTCCAGACGGATAAGAAAGGTAACTTGGAATATGGTCATTTACATACGTCAGGGTGTGAAAAGGTCCTGCTTCCAATTCTGTAAAGGACCTAAAATAATTTTTAAATTCCAAATACTTAAAGTTGACGTAACAGCTAGTTGTTGTTCAGTCTTTCCCGACTCTTAAAACTCATCTAACAAGCAGCCTTTTACAGCTCAGTGCTTACTCCATGTTTCATAACTGAAATGAGTGGACGCGGTACTTTAAGAACATGGACTCCTTTATTTATTTTGGTAAATTTCTATTAATTACAATGCTATTTGTGTAATAACTCATGTTTGAGAGATCTTACACACGTGTGATAATATATGTCGACTTCAATGCAAAACGTATGAGTTACGAGTTAAGTTTTACTTGAGGCAAAATGAGGTTAATAGGCGGGGAGACAGCATTTCAGATAGCTCTGAGAAAATTGCTACAGAGGCAGGAGGGGAAGGTTAGTATATATGTGTGTTCCTGGTGAAGGGGGAGTACAGTGCAGTCAAGCACATATTTTTTGCATAATGTTTCTGCTAGTCTGCTGCTACCTCTACAAGTATTTTAAGTCACGTGCTGCTGCAGCTGCTGATTTTCAACACCCATGAAAGGAGTTCAGGGTGGAGGGCGGAAGTGAGGCACTCTGTGCTCTGTAAAAAGCTGGCAGAACAGGTCTTCAAATAGGTATTTTCAGGAGCCGATTTTATGAGCCCAATTCTTAATACCTTCTCATATCTAGAAAAACACTAGAACCCTCATGGTGAAGACTGTTCTCCTGACTAGCAAAAAGCTTCTTTACGGTCTGAGCCACCAGGGAAGCCCTGAGGAGGAAATGGAAACCCGCTCCAGTACTCTTGCCTGGAGAATCCCAAGGACAGAGGAGCCTGGTGGGCTGCAGTCCATGGGGTTGCACAGACTCTGACACGACTGAAAGTGACTTAGCATGCAGGCGTAATCATGCAAAATCCACCCTTCACCTTAGAATTCTCTTTTTTGAAAAAAATGTATAGTTACATATATCCATCATTATAGTATTTTCACTGCCCTAAAAATCCTCTGTACTCCTGTTCACCTCTCTCCCATCCCCAGTGCTACCTGCTAAGTCGCTTCAGTCGTGTCAGACTGCGTTCCACTGGACTGCAGCTGGCCAAGCTCCTCTGACCATGGCAGTAATACTGGAGTGGGTTACCATCCCCTCCTCCAGGGGATCTTCCCAACCCGGGGATCGAATCCATGTCTCTTAAAGTCTCCTGCATTGGCAGGTGAGTTCTTTAGCGCCTGGGAAGCCCCACTGATCTTTTTACTCTCTCCATAGTTTTGAATTTTCCAAAATGTTGAATAGTTGGAATCATATGGAATGTAGCCATTAAAAGATTAGTTTCTAACTTAGGAAATATGCATTTAAGTTTCCTCCATACCTTTACATGGTGCGTTACCTCACTTGTTTCAGGGCTAAATAATGTTCCACTGGGGCTTCCTGCATGGCTCAGTGGAAGAGACTCCGCCTGTAATGCAGGAAAGACAACAGATGTGGTTCGATCCCTGGGTCTGAAGGATTCCATGGAGAAGGAAATGGCAACGCACTCCAGTATTCTTCCATGGAAATCCCACGGACAGAGGAGCCTGGTGGGCTACAGTCCATGGGTCACAAAAAGAGTCAAACATGACTGAGTGACTAAACAACAATAATGTTACATTGTCTGGGTATATTACAGTTTATTTATCCAGTTACCTGCTGAAGGACATTTTAGTTGCTTCCCAGTTTTGGCAGTTGTGTGTGAAACTGCTATAAATGTCCTCTTGCAGAAATTTCTAGCTACACATTTTCAACTCCTTTCAGTAAATACCAAGGAAAGCAATTTCTGGAGCATATGGTAAGAGTATGTTTTAATTTTCTAAGAAACTTCCAGACTCTTCCAAAGTGGTTGTACCATTTTTCATTCCCACCAGCAATGAATTAGGGTTCTGTTGTTCCACATCCTCACCAGCATTTGACTGTTATCATTGTTGTGGATTGTAGCCGGTGTAAGAGCTGTGTAGTTGTATCTTGTTTTTGTTTGCATTTCCCTGATGCTGTATGTTGTAGGGCATCTTTTCATATGGTTATTTGCCGTCTGTATGTATATCTTTGGTGAGATATCAGTTGAACTCTGACTTTTTTTTTTCTTATAGTTGAGTTTTAAGAGTTCTTTGTATTTTTAAAAATTCCTTAATTAATTTACTTGGCTGCCCTGGGTCTTCATTGCTGTGTGCATGCTTTCTCTAGTTGTGGCAAGCGGGAGCTACTCTTGGTTGCGGTCCTCAAGTTCTTCCTTGCAGTGGCTTCTTTTGTTGTGGAGCACAGGCTCTCAGCTCATGGACTTCAGTAGTTGCAGCTCTCGGGCTCTAGAGTTTGGGCTCGATACTTGTAATGCGTGGCTTAGTTGCCCCACAGCACGCGGGATCTTCCTGTACCAGGGATTGAACCCACGTCCCCTGTAACAGCAGGCAGATTCTCATCCACTGTGTTACTAGGGGAGTCCCAAGAGTTCTTTGTATTTTGTATAACAGTCTTTTAGCAGTGTAGGTTTTGCAGCATCTTCCCAGTCTGTGGCTTATCTTATCATTCTTGATGATGTCTTTCTTTTAAAAAAAAATCATTTTATTATTTTTGGCTGTGCTGGGTCTTCGTTGCCATGCGGATTTATCTCTGGTTGCTGTGACTGGGGCTACTCTCTAGTTTCAATGCTCGGGTTTCTCGCTGCAGTGACTTCTCTTGACTCTTGCAGTGACTATTCAGCGGCTGAATAAGGGCTCTAGGGTGCGCAGGCTTCAGTAGATGCGGCACATGGGCTCAATAGTTGTGGCTGCTGGGCTCTATAGAGTAAAGGCTCAAGAATTGTGGCACATGGGCTTAGTTGTTCCTCGCCGTGTGGGATCTTCCTGGACCAGGAATCGAACCCATGTCTCCTGCATTGCAAGGCAGATTCTTTACCACTGAGCCACTAGGGAAACCTGATGATGTTTTTTTAAGAACAAAAGTTTCATTTCTTAAAGAAGTCCAGCTTATCAATTACTTTTTTCATGGATTGTGGTGTGGTGTCATATTTAAAAAGTCATTGTCATTCCCAAGATAATCTTAAGTTTTTCCTGTGTTATCTTCTAGGAGTTTTATAGCTTTAGTCTTAGGTTTATAATCCATTTTGAGTTAGTTTTTGCATGTGGACATCACAGAGACATGACTGCGCGCGCAGGGAGACACACACACACACCCCACCCCACCCAGTTGTTTTATCACCCAGTTGTTGAAATGACTATCTATTGCTTCATCCTATTGCCTTTGTTATCCTTTATCAATGATTATTGGCTGTATTTCTTTGGGTCTGTTTCCGGGCTGTCTATTTTTTGTCATTGATCTACTTGTCTGTTCTTTCATGAATACTGCACTGTTTCTAGATTGCTGTCGGTTTATAGTAACCCTTAATTGTCGAGTAGCATTGGTCCTCCAGCTTTGTTTTCCTTCAGTATTCCATTGGCTATTCTGGATCTTTTGTCTCTCTGGCATACAGTTTAGAATTAGCTTATTGATAGCCATAAAAGAACTTGCTGGGATTTTTATTGGGATTGCATCGAATCTGTAGATCAAAGTTAGAATAAAACTGACATCTTGACAATATTGAGTCTTCCTATCTATGATCATGGAATATCTCTCCATTTATCTAATTCTTTGATTTCTTTCATGAGAGATTTGTTGTATTCCTCATATGAATCTTGTACATATTTGTTAGATTTATACCTAAGTATTTCATTTTGGGGGTTGCTGCTGTAAATCGCATCGTATTTTTCGTTTCAAATTCCACTGTTCATTGCTGGTAAAGAGGAAAGCAGTTGACTTTGTATATTAACTATGTATCCTGCCACCTTGCTATAATCACTTACTAGTTTCAGGAAGCTTTTTTATTGTTGTTGATTTGCTCGGTTTCCTAAATAGGTGATAGTATCATTTGCAAACAAAGACAGTTTTATGTCTTCTTTCCAAACTTGTATACCTTTTATTTCATTGTCTTGTTTTATAGTATTGTTAGTACTTGATCCAAGTACATCCAGCTTGATGTTGAAAAGTCATGATGGGAGGAGACATACTTGCCTTGTTTCTGATATCAACAGAAAGGCTCCTGGTTTCTCATCATTAAGTATGATGTTAGTTGTCGGGTTTTTTTAATTGATGGTCTTTATTGAGGTAATGGAAGATTTCCTGTACTGCTAGTGAGAGTTTTTATCATCAGTGGATGTTAGATTTTGTCAAAAACTTTCTCTGCATCTATTGATATCATCATGTAATTCGTCTCTTTTCGCCTGCTGATGTGGTGGATTACGTTAATTTTTAGCTTTGTATACCTGCAATAAATCTCAGGAATTGGTCCTGAAAAGGAATTGGTCCATTTCATCTAGGTTATCAAATTTGTGGGCATAGAACTGTTCAAAGTATTTTTTTATTATCCTGTTCATGTCCATGAGATCTATAGTGATAACCTACCTCTATCATTTCTGATATTGGTAACTTGTAACCTTTTTTTCATAGTTTGCCTGAGTAGGGTCCTATGAATTTTGTTGATCTTTTCAAAAAACTTGGTTTTGTTGATTTTCTCTATTGATTCTCTGTTTTAAATTTCATTGATTTCTCTATTATTGTTTCTTTTCTTCTGCTTTCTTTTGATTTAATTGGTCTTTTTTTCCCCCCTAGTTTCCTAAGAGGGAAGCTTAGATGATTTTATGAATGTGTGTATGTATCTGTTTATGTGTTTATTTTGGTTTTTCTTTTCCATTGTGGTTTATTATGGGATATTTAATACAGTTTCCTGTGCTGTGCCTTTAGGACCTTGTTGTTTATCCATTCTATATATAGTAGTTTGCATCTGCTAGTCCTAAAGGCACAATCCATCATTTCCACACTCACTCTACCCCTTCACAACCAAAAGTCTGTTTTCATGTCTGTGAGCTTGTGTTTTGTAGGTAAGTACATT